ATGAATTAACCACTTATAATCCAAATGTTTCTTTTTATGAAGTTTTAGTAATATTTTGTTTTACATGTCTATTTTTCCCTTTGTTTAATTTTTAGCATATTGAACTTTGGAGTTTGTAGTGTTAATATTTTGGGTGAGGATGGAGAGTTTTGTTTTGTTTTTTAAATATGTGAACATATAGCTCAGAAAGTCATTCTTTTCACCTATAGTTGGTTAATATTCATATTTCTTCTAATTTCCCAGGGCTTTATTATTTTGTAGCAGTTTTAAGTTTATGATATTGAGATAGGTGTACAGAGATTTAAATTTTCAATATTGAGATAGGTGTATGAATATTTAAGTTTATAATATTGAGGTAGGTATACAGAGATTTTTAACATACATTGGGTCCCCCACACATACATACCCTATCCCATTATCTATATAACTAGGATGGTACTTTTTTTTTTTACTAACAGTGTTCCAACTTCACTTAGAACTTTCAAAAGTTTGTATAAAGTAGTTCTCTTCACTACACTTTCGTTGTTGTTGTTGTTGTTGTTGTGTGTGTGTGTGTGTGTGTGTTTGTCTTATTTAAGCTTTGTACAATAACTCTTAGTTTCTAAGAAGCTTCTGCTTAGAAAGTAATCCATTCTATATTTAGTCATTGGCTACAAGAGATGACATATATATCCTGCCTCCATTGACCTTGATTATTTTGTCAAATCAATCCTCATAAGACTTGAACTTTGCATCACACTTGTATATTTTGGTTACAATGTATGCTTGAAAGGCAGGATAGTATACATTGAAAAATTCTAAAATTCAAGATTTTTTTCAAGTCAGATCAGAGGTTCTAAGAAGGTAGAGAAGCAGCAGCACAGTTTGGGGTGGCTTTCTTCTGGAAGAATGGCATGTCTTACACTTTGCATTGAGACTTGGACAGATTTTTTAGCTAAGTGAAAAAGACAAGTGTTATGCTAAGAACAAGTGTTATGCTGGGTACTGAAGGGCCCCGGTTCAATTTCAGTCATGGCATATGCCAGGTTGTGGGCTCAGTCCCCAGTGAGGGGGTGTGCAGGAGGCGGCTAATCAATGATTCCCTCTCACCATTGATGTTTCTATCTTTTTCACTCTCTCCATTCCTCTCTGAAATCAAGAAAAAACATATTACAAAATAAAAATTAAAAAATAAAACTGAACTAGAGATCAAAAGGTAATATTTTCAAAAATAATCTTAAGTTATACAAAATCAAGGTGTCAATCTTAAATTGGAGAAGTACCTAGAAATAAAGTATGCTGTTTTAAGACTTCTCTTATTTGACCTTTAAAACATCACTATGTTATATTAAACAGAACTTATCCCTATTTTCAAATAAGGATAATGAAATTCAGAGATGTTATATGTAAATAATAAATGGTCTGTCTGAGCTAGCGTGGGCTGTCTAACAGAGGAGAATGAGAGGGCAAACAAGTTCTCTTGTTGCTATGCTTTCCCCTTCCTGTCTCCTGACACTGGAGGTTTTCAGTCTCCACTCCACACTCTCTCATGAAACACTAGCATATTTCTTTAAAAACAATAATTAGAGTCAATCTGGAACCCATAATGTATTTAGTTCTCAAAGCTGAAGTCATTTAAAAAAAAATCAATGATTTTCAAAGAGTGAAACCAAGCAATTACAATATAGACCGAATGGCCAGATTATTATGATCTCTGAATGCATAATATTATACTCTGGCCATTCAGTGTATATTCTGTATAATAATATACATATACATATATATTTCTAAAATTAGAGCCCATTTTTAGCAGAAAAATATTGAGGCTGTTTTTTTTTCATTATAAAAAGATTAAAAATTAATTTGCCTTCAAAATACTATTTTGCTTCATAGTTTTGATAAGTTGTTTTCATTCAGTTCTAATTATTTGCAAATATCCAGTAATATTTCCTATTTGATATGTAGGTTTTTTAAACTGTGTTTTAAAATTAATGCATGCATAGATTTAAAAATATATAATCATGTTATTTATACCAATTGAATCATGATGAGAAAATATAATTCTTATATCAATTATATTAAATTTTTAAGATTTGCTTTGTGGCTTATATTGTCTGTTTTTATAAATGCTCCACACATACTTGAGAAAAATGTGTAGTTATTTGGGGAAAAAATTAACATGTGTCCTTTTCTTGAATTTTCTATTTTCCACAAATTATCCACCTCAAATTCTCTGAGTGTTGCATCTAGCCTTTTATATCATTCTATTTTGATATTTTGATTAAGAAAATGTATTTTTATTTAATCATCCCTATTTCTTAACTTACGTACTGTTATGACCTGAATGTCTATATCCTCTCTAAATGCATATGCTGAAGCCATACACCCCTGATGTGATGGCATAAGGAGGTGGAATTTTGGAGAGATAATTACATTTAGGTGAGGTCATCAGGATGGAGCTCCGTGATGAGATTCATACCCCTATGAAAACAAGAAGAGACACCACAGCTTCCTTTCTGCCACATGAGAATAAGAAAGAATACAGATACCTGCAAGCTAGGAAGACAGCCCTTACTATGAACCAAATTGTCCTTGTTTGACACCTTGATTTTGTATTATTATTATTTATTAATGATTGCATTATTTTTCATACAAACAACTGTAAACCTACTTTTGCCCCACACTCTATGTGCAAATAAAAAAAAAAAACAGTTACAAAGCAAAAGGCAGGTTTTAATCTATTAGTAAAGGACTGTCTGCATTATAACAATTTTTTCAACTCTGCTAATTTGAAAAATAAAATAGATGTCCTTTTATAACTTTAATGAGAAGTTCTTCACTATAATTACACTTTTCCGTCAACAGCTTTATTGAGCTCTCCCTCTCCAATGGTTGTTTCTCTTCTACAAATAAAAATTAAATCCAGCACAAAAATAAAACCCTCTAGTCTTCCCCCAAACAACAAGCAAGCAGAACACTTGTCTTGATGGTGCCATTTTGTCTCTTGGTAATAGTGGGCATATTTTCTTCTTCACTGCTAGCATAAGTTCATTGATATATTTATTCTGGAAAGATTTGCTTAGCACTTCTATTTATGCTGGATACCGTAGAAACAGGGAGATGAAATAAAATTTTCCATTAAAAACACAAGGAAGGAGCCCTAGATGGTTTAGCTCAGTGGATAGAGCCTCAGCCTATGGACCAAAGGGTCCTGGGCTTGATTCCAGTTAAGGGCACATACCTTGGTTGCGGGCTCTTGAAAGTCCAGGCCTTGATAGGGGTGCATGCAGGAGGCAAACAACCAATGTGTTTCTCTCATATTGATGTTTCTCTCTATTTTTCCTCCTCTCTTCTACTCTCTCTAAACAATTAATGGGAAAATATCCCCGAGTGAGGATTAACAACAATAAAAAAGCACAAGGAAGGAGAAAAAAAAATAAGCATTTTATTATATTCATTGAGTAAGATATTAAGAGAACATAAGGGTGAGGGAGTAAGAGATCAAAGGACTTGTATGATGCATATGAGCATAAACAATGGGCACAGATGGGGCGAGGTGGCATGATGAGGGCATGTGCTGGGGATTGGGGGCGGCCAGGGAGAGGTATTGGGGGGAAGAGGGGAAGGAGACTTATGTAATACATTAAACAATAAAGAATTTAAATAAAAATTAAAGAAAAAAATCACTGAGTGTCTAATCAAGCTCAGAAACTAACCAGTTATTTTCTTGAGCAAGCAACTTCACATCTCTGAGCCTTAAAAATAATTTTTTTATGTAACAATAAATGGAAATTGATGGCCTTTGAATTTCTTTTCAGCTTAAGAAATTCCTTAAGCAGCAGTATTTCTGCTATACCCACTAAAAATGACCTCAGGTCACCGATGGCACATACACAACATTTGATGTATGACAACCATCTGTCCTTGTTTGACTGAGACTATGTTAGTTTATTCCTGTTGTTCTCATGTAGTTAAACACTTTCATTGTCAAAGTCATTCTGGTTTTAAATATAAATGATAAAAGTAAATTTATACATATAGAAAAGGTTAATGCTGGGTCAAGCTGATATATTTATAAAGCAAGTAGAGTAATGATAATAATAACAATGAAAAAAGAGAGACTATATAGGAATATAATGCAATACAGGGTAATGTGGAGATGATGATGGAATAGAAATCTTCTTGCAGTGATATTTCACAAAACAACAACAACAACAAAAAAACACAAAAAAACCCCTAGATCATTCTGATTATGTTATTGACACTCACTCATTTCTTAAACTAGATTGTGTTCACCATTTCAAAGTCACAGCTTTGGGATGGTCAAGACTTGGTGGAGTAGAGGTTGGATGGAGGGGGATAAAGTGTGGGGAAATGGGAGACATCTGTAATACTGTGAATAATAAAAAAAAAAACACTTTTTTTTTTAAAAAAGAAAGTCACAGCTTTTTATTTTTTTATTTTTACATCTAATGGTCTAAATGGAAAATTCAAAGACTCATCCTTAACTACCCAGCATTTCAAATCTTTCATCTCTCAAGAGCTAGATCAAATGCCCCCTCAACCCTGATTCACTTATTATTTCATTATCCAAACTCTACTCCTGGGGTATTTACTTAATGCTGACCTACTGGTTCGTATGTTGTTTCTGAAATTGTCCTTGACCTGTGTTTATACTTTCATCATTCTGAGGCTGCCTCATCCACAAAGCCTAACATATAGCCCTGAACCTAATGCATACTAAAAAAATATTGAATTACTGAATTAATTCAGTAGCATATAGGAGAATTAATTTAGAAAGTGTATGACACCGGTTTTATCAACTTGAATTACTAAATAATGTAAGTAAGCATCTAATTGTGTAGACTTAAGATAATAAGACTTAGGCATTTGGACATGCCATTATAAGTAAAATTAAAATATATACAAACACAAGTTACAGAATACAAGCATTCATGAAAAATAAATGACTTGTAAATAGATTTTTTGACAAATTACTTTTTTTTCTTTTTTTCAAACAGTGGCAACATGTTGGCTACTTCAAGTGGTGATACTACAGTGAAATTATGGGACATGACTGGAGGCAATTGCACTTTGACCTTTGAAGGCCATAAACATGCAGTATGGTCCTGCACGTGGCATTCCTGTGGTGACTTTGTGGCTTCATCTTCACTGGATACCACCAGCAAAATCTGGGATGTTAATAGGTAAGAAGTACTTCAAACATTATTCACTTTCTATGTTGATAAATATACATTGATGATGTATGTGTGTGTGTTTTCCCTCAATACTAACACTGGGAAACATTTCTTTTTAAATAAAAAAAACTATTAGTTCATAAAATTGTAGAGAACTACTTAAAAGTTTTGTGAAATCTATTTCTAACTCCATTAGTCTTTGTTTATATAATGGGTTCTTTCCAAATGTAGGTATCAAGATCAAGCCTATGAATTACAATAGAATTGCATCATTAGAAAGCTGTTTATTTTAGGCTAGGTAGAAACAAATACTAATTTTAAACAGGTTGTTAGTCGTTCCTTTTCGCAGGATTATTATCTCTGTATTATCAAACTAACAATTTAATAGACATAAATATGACAGAAATAATTACTTGTTTTAGCTTAGTTTTAATATAATATTTTCCAAATTAAATGCTTCTGGCAATTCACAAATTATAAGAACACAATTAATTGTATCCACAGTCCTATATAATGTCATATGAATATAGAAGCTTTTCATTTTGCTTTTAATTCAAGAAAGACATATTCTATATAATAAAGATGTAATATGCAAATGGTCATTATGCCATGAAGTATAATGACCAACCGTATAACGACCAGATCACGGATCAGCAGGAGGGTGCAATGAGCTACAAGTGGTGGTGGAGAGCTACAGGAGGGGGCAGGACAGAAAGCTCTGAGAGGGGATGTGGAGAGAGGGGTGAGAGGCACTATAGGAGGGTTGGGCTGTGGGCAAAGAGCTACTGGAGGGCAGCAGCAAGCTACTGGTGCACAGATTTGTGCACAGGGCTACTGGTCTATTATGCTCACAGTGTCAAAATACATGTGCTTCGTATCTATTTGGATGATTATTACTTTGTTAGCTATACAAATAGTATATAAAGAGCTGCTCTCAAATATCATGATGGCCTCAGTTCACTAAAGAACTATAAATCATCAGTCAAGTTTCTGATCACTTTAGTTATTGAACAATGTCCAGATTCTAAATATAAGTCATAAGGACTCCTAAAAATTTAGGTAGACAGTTGTCGCTGAGAGCCATTATGGTTTATTTTGAAGAGAAAAGTTGACTGATTCAAAGGTGGACACTCTTACTTTGAGGTCATTTGTAAAAGCTTGAACAAACTCTCTCCATTCTTCCTTGAGTCATGGGCAACATATTTAGAAGAAGGACAGGTAAGGTACTTGCAAAAGGTCAGCAGATTTTTCTGGGAGGATTCATTGACAGTGTGTGCTCTTTCCTGTGGGTAAATTGATTATCTCCTGATGCCATGTGCAGGATATTATGCTATTCTTCCTCAGCACCAAAATCACCCTTCTGTACCAGTTTTGGTGATGCTGAGAATTGGACATTTGCAAACCACATTTTTGCTTTGCCCAGCTGACTTTCTGTTAGGCTTTAGCGATACTTGTAGAAGACAGCAAGGCAGGAGGGGGGAGAGGGGGCTCGCTTCTTCCTGTCTCCTTCCTGTGGGTTCCTTCTGGACGTAGAGTCCCCAGGAGCATCAGCCCAGCAGCAGGTCACCTCAGCGACAGCAGGGCCTTCTCATCTCAGCGGCTGAATCCGGATGGAGGTTTACCCAGTGCCCGCACCACAGGGGCATCATGCCATCATCAAAGACATGCGCCTCAGCAGCTGGGTGCCCTCTTCCCGGAGGTCTGTGCTCCAGCTCTGCACGGCTCCTCCTCTGGGTTGTAGAAAACCAGTATCAGCAGACAAGTAGGAGCCCCACACAGAGGGCTGAGCGTTAGCTCTGCGGGCACCCCTTCCCACGGTTCTGAGTGTCAGTAAGGCTATCCTATTCCCTCGGTCCACTCAGTCCTACAGATAGCAGCTCCTTTCTGCAGTTGGTTTTTCCAGGAAACCTTAATGTTTTCTTTTTCTCTCGTTAGTTACCTAGTGAACAACTTTATATACTGGTGGTTAACAATCCCATGTATTAAATCCTTACTGTTAAAATGATGGGTGCAAATTCTGTATCCTGACTAGACCTGGACAGGTACAGGGCATTGATTAGTGGATAAATAGCATAAGTCACCTGTGTTATAAGATACAGATTAAAAATGTTGGAATATGCTATATGAGGAAACATTTTAGACTTAAAATAATGATAATGTGAGGTATGTTTTAATTTTTAAATGGGTACCATTTGGTTATCTGGATAATCAATCATGTAAATCTTAACTTTATTTTTCTAATTATGTGACCAGATTTTATAAATATTTTCTATAATAGAGTATTGGAATTTTTTAAAACTACTTTATTGAGGTATGACTAACATATAAAAAGCTGTAAATATTTAGTGTAGATAAATTGATGAGTTTATAAAGAATATACTCATGAAGTCATCATCACTAATGTATGCTGTAAATATATCCATCACCTTCAAAAATATATCCCTGCTCTCTTTATCTAATTTAGTGAATTTTTAAACATACTATACAGTAATGTTAACTATTGGTACTATGTTATACAGTGTATATCTCTAGGACTTAGTCATCTTGTATAACTGAAAATTTGATACTAGTATCTAATTTTAATATTTATCACTGGCTCAGATGAGGAGCCTAACAGAAGCTGAGTTCTGTTCTAAAATAGAACATCTCTTCAGATGTGCTTTCACTGTGGTTAAAGGTGGATTCCTAACAGACTCAGCCCTTCTTAGAGTGACTGCAGAGACTTTGGCCTGACAGCTTTTCTCCATGACCCTGATATCTAAATGCTTTCTTCCAACTGATACTCAGTAGAGATTGATATATTAATATTTCTCCTGATTGATGCCAAAAATCCTTTACATTTCAAAATTTCCATCAATGTTAAGAGCTCACTTTCATCATCAAAGACCAAAGACTTGTATTAATTTTGAAGCTGAGGGACTAGACACATTTTAACAAATAATGGAGAAATTGATTATTTATATAATGATTACTGATATATCTTTCACAGCTAAAATCAAAGCACTAAACTGTACATTCTGATTTTGCATGAATCAATGCTGTGTAGATATATCTACTAGTGTCTGCTTTTTAGATTTCATAGGTTAATGGAACCAGCTTAGTGAGTTAAGGGGAGTGGTTATTTGCCTTGGTGAGATTTTGGTAGTAGAAGCTGTTCTGTTCTGGATCAAATACTCTAATCTTGATGCCATATGTTCTTGATAAGACAAATTACATTGATAGGCTGTGCTGTTCACCAAACTAGGACAAGTTTAGACTATATTGTTCTCTCTTACACTTTACCTTACCCTTAGAACCCCTGGCCCTAGCCCTTCAACTGCTCCTGACTTGGGCATTATCTACCAAGATCACCTCATTAGCTCCTTATCAGAAAGTTGGATAACTGGTAATTATAATTCATGTAAAAAAATCCAGATCAAGAGCCACTTTTGCTAAATCCTAATAAGATCAATAGTTGTGGGACCCTTCGTCTGGATGATCAGCACTCCATGAGATTTCTACAAATAATTAACAATAGCACTTAGATGATCTTCTTAATGATCATTTGTAAAAAATGGAAATTTTTATGTGTTTCAATTTGTGATCACTTATTTCTGCATACACACACACACACACACACACACACGCACACACTGTTGTATCCTAAAGTAGAGTGTTTGACAAATGGCAGTTTTGTTGCATGAATTGATTAAAAAAAGAATAAATCAACACATACATAGAATAAAATGTTCTCCTTGCTCCCACCCACATTCAAACTATAATTTAATTGTCTTATTCTATATGAATCTGTTAAGTGATGAAAAAAGGATAAGAAAATCAGAAAATATCGCAGTAGACTATAAAAATAATTTGTGTTTATTTAAATTATACGATTATCAGTAAGTATTCATGAAATGAATTACCTGGCTATATTATAGACATTAGAATATTATAATATTCCATTACTGCCCTCAGTGAAATTACAAGTAATTTTAAAATGTAGATATTTTGAAGCAGAGAATATACATTGTATCTGCAATTGATAATATCAGGTAGGGTGTTCTGGTTTACCTCTGGCTGTCTTTCTTTAGCTGAGTAGCTATTCTACACCATTACAGTGATATTTGGAAGGCAGACCATGTGCCTGCTTTAGAGCTTGCAAGGAAGGGACTGAACCAAAGTTACTGAGTGTAGCTGCCCCCACTGCTTTTAACAGAATACTACACAGAGAGGAAGTGAGCTGGTTGTATAGTAAAGAAGGAAGGAAAATAGTTTTGTAAAATTTAACAGCTTCTGGACCTCCAACAATTGCCTTTATATCCAAATGTATTGTTTCCTCGAGAATAAGTTTAGAGAGAAAAATGAAGCAGGTTTGGAAACTTTGTTTAGGACAGTAATTTGTGATTACTGCTGCACTGCATTGACTGTAAGCAAATATATCGGAAGCCTACTAAGTATTTGAGAGAAGTATATTGACAAAGAAACCACGAATCCATGCCTAAGATTCCCATGACTCTTCAAACTCAACTTCAGGGCCTGAATTCACATCCAGAGGAAATGGACTCATGGTGTTTTACAATCCTCGGTGGAAGCACAAACCACAGCACCCACATCAGATGTGGCCATAGAGATAATGGTCAAGGGAAACCCTTGGCTGTGGAATAAACCTACAGGCCACAGAGGACAGTGGACAAAGCATCTCCTCGGAGGGAGAGAGGCATGATCCAATCAAAGAGTGACCTCAGAGCCCTGGCCAGGTTCCCCGTGATCCTGCCCAGAGTTCTATCTCATGTGTTTTCCGTTTTTCTACCTTTTGTACTAGAGTTTGTGTTGCAGTTATTTTGTCTTTGCTGCTGGTGGTAGAGGAGGCAGAAAATTTGGCTTTTATTTTTTTGGTCACCAGAACACAAGTGACACCTCTGACCCCCTTGGAGCAGATTGTGTGTCATACAGAGATCAAGGGCTGCGAAATCCATGCAGTAAACGAGTGTGACTTGTGTTGTCTCCTTTTGGGGGGACGGAGGGAGCAG